ACCTGCCGCTTGCTAGGCCCTTTGAGGAGGCCACGCATTCGTGAGTTGGCAGGATATGGGATAAACGACGTCTTTCCCTCTGTTGCACGCCCGGGAAAACAAATGCGTTAACAAGGTGGTCAGGGTGCGGTAGACGGGGCGCACAGATCTCAACGCCACATGACCCTGTGGGGCAGGACGGAAAAAGAGGGGAGGTAGAGGGGACTTTGGGTGCTCAGGAATTATGGTGAAAGGGGTGGTTTTTCCACTCAGGGGAAAAGGAGTGGGGGGAGAGGAAAAATTTTAAAGGGGAGGGAGGGGGAAACAGGGACCCAGACGCACCGGGGCATTTGCTGTGGAAGGAGGCAGGAGTCCCTCCTTTCCCTTGGCACAAGGGCCCCAAGCATGTCGGTTGTTGGTAGCACGGGCCGAATAATAACATCAACAGAGGGTTGACTTTTGGCTGTCCACCTTGTTGGACCCCGTCCCCTTTCAAAAAAGGGTGGCCTTTTTAACACCTCTGAGGGGGGCCCAAAATAACTACTAAAAAACCCCCTATGTATATTTGGTTTCCCGCCTTTTTTGCCCAGCGCCATCCTCAACACTGTGGGCCCTTTCACTCGCGTTCCCCTGCCATGGCAGCAGGGGGGGGGGTGGTAGGAGCGGGCAAACTCCCCCAGCAGTGGTCCCCCATCTGCGTCGTTTAGAGTAGCTTTTTCACCGGCGTGAGGAAACTCAACCAGCCGCAGCAGCACAGGTGGGCCCGGAGCAGGACCCCAAAAAAGGGTCGGGCCTACTTGGACAGACCCTGCCAACCCAGGTAGACAATCCCCTTTACACGGGCAACAAAATTGACCTTTTTCCCCCCCTAGCTGAATTTGCCCTTTAAAAGGGGTCATGCCCGGCCAGTAGCGGGCATCGGAGTGCGTGTTTTGTGCGGGGGAGGTCTGGCAGATTACGGGCCTCCCATTGCTGCTGCCAGGCCGTAACGCATGCGCATGGGCCCCGTACCGCCTCCTCATGCTGCTGCCAGGTCCAGAGTCTGTCATGGGTCCCATGTACGGCCTCCCATTGCTGCTGTCTCCATCGCCACACTCTGCCATGTGCCACTTTCAGGTCTCCTCACACTGCTGGTGTGGTTCCATTTTTTTGTCATAGGGTGCTGGCAGATTACGGGCCTCCCATTGCTGCTGCCAGGCCCGTAATCTGCCATGGGCCCCTTTGTACCGCCCTCCTCATGCTGCTGCCAGGTCCAGAGTGTCTATCATGGGTCCCTGTACGGCCTCCCATTGCTGCTGTCTCCATCGCCACACTCTGCCATGTGCCACTTTCAGGTCTCTCACACACTGCTGGTGGGTTCCATTTTTTGTCATAGGGTGCTGGCAGATTACGGGCCTCCCATTGCTGCTGCCAGGCCATGTAATCTGTCATGGGCCCCCAAGTACCGCCTCCTCATGCTGCTGCCAGGTCCAGTAGTGGTCATGGGTCCCTGTACGGCCTCCATTGCTGCTGTCTCCATCGCCACACTCTGCCATGTGCCACTTTTCAGGTCTCCTCACACTCTGCTGGTGGGTTCCATTTTGTCATTAGGGTGCTGGCAGATTACGGGCCTCCCATTGCTGCTGCCAGGCCCTGTAATCTGCCATGGGCCCCTGTACCGCCTCCTCATGCTGCTGCAGGTCCAGAGTGTGTCATGGGTCCCTGTACGGCCTCCCATTGCTGCTGTCTCCATCGCCACACTCTGCCATGTGCCACTTTCAGGTCTCCTCACACTGCTGGTGGGTTCCATTTTGTCATAGGGTGCTGGCAGATTACGGGCCTCCCATTGCTGCTGCCAGGCCCGTATAATCTGCCATGGGCCCCCGTACCGCCTCCTCATGCTGCTGCCAGGTCCAGAGTGTCCATGGGTCCCTGTACGGCCTCCCATTGCTGCTGTCTCCATCGCCACACTCTGCCATGTGCCACTTTCAGGTCTCCTCACACTGGCTGGTGGGTTCCATTTTGTCATAGGGTGCTGGCAGATTACGGGCCTCCCATTGCTGCTGCCAGGCCCCTAATCTGCCCATGGGCCCCGTACCGCCTCCTCATGCTGCTGCCAGGTCCAGAGTTGTTCATGGGTCCCTGTACGGCCTCCCATTGTGCTGTCTCCATCGCCACACTCTGCCATGTGCCACTTTCAGGTCTCCTCACACTGCTGGTGGTTTTCCATTTTTGTCATAGGGTGCTGTATGGCCTCCCATTGCTGCTGCCTCCACCGCCACACTGTGGCTCCACACTCTGGTTTTGGCCCCGTGACTGCCCAAATGAGTGAAGTGTGCGGTGCGGTGATTCTAAGATCGACGGCACTCATCTGCATGTCATACTGACTGACAGTATTATTTCTCTTCCCCAGCAGACTCCAAGGGCATTTAAATTAAAGGTACAGTGTTCTGCACTAATAAAGGCTCTTGAAGCCTAGAAACCCCTTTTTATAAGTTAAATTTGCAGTCGAATATATTCGCATCGAATCGAATTTTTTTTATTCCTCGAATTCGCCGAATCAGCCGAAGTCGAATTTTGAATACTTCGCTCATCTCTACTTATAACATTTTAGCTGAGAACGACACTTTTGGGTATGTTTTACTATGCATTAGGCATCCAGTGCTAATTTCAGTCTCTAGCAGTTCAGAAAGCCAATACATCTACACTACTAAGGCAGCTAAAACGAATGCTTCTTTCTGCATCAAAGCGGGATCTGTGCCTAAATGACAATCCTGATATCTGAATTCATTCTTTCCTATACAAGAAACTTCAAAGTTTCATTTTTCTGAAAAAATAGCCACTCCATAATGGGGCCTTCCTCCAACACCCCAATTTAGGTCCCGTGGCAGACACATGAGCTTGCTATGGCTATTGTTACACCCACTGACGTCAATAGGAATGGATTTTTATTGAACAGAAGCAAAATTGCTTGGCAATTATTATTTTAGTATGGATGTGGTTGCCTCACTGTACAAGGAGGTTCTGTGAAATGCACCAAAAATACCATTCCATGCTTAGCAATACCTTGAAATTCCAACTACCTTTTGACAATCACCTCTGTTAATTAACAATTAAATAGTGATATGTTTTTTCTCTGCGCGTTGATGTCTGTTTTCATTAATTTGTCTGTATTATTTTAATGTTAGTCATTTATTTTTATTTGAATAACAGATGGGGAGAGCGCTTCTGGACCAATATACACACACACAAAAAAAAAAATACTCAATATAAAGACAAAAGATATATTAAGAAGAGCCGCTATCTCACCCCTGTAGACTCAGAGTTTTAGGTAGCAAAAAACAAAAAAGAAGAAATATTGTTTTATGGACAAGAATTGTTTGCACTTATTATTTTTTATTTATATAAGTTATGGACAACTTATTCACATATTTTTTGATTGAATCTTTCACAGTGAATTTATGTGACAACTTTATTTATATTATCTGGCCAGTATGAGTCATTCACAATAGCGTATATTTTATGTTTACTTGTGTTCAGACAGATATATTAATTTGAACAGCGTTGTCTTTTTTATTATTTTTATATTTAACCTGCGCGGGCCACCTCACTATATGAACTGCTACTCATTTTTGGTTTTGTGTGACAGAACCTGTATCGAATCACATTTTTATCATGTATCTCTATAGCTTTAAAAAAAACTCTAGGAACAGGAAGAGCTGCCCCACATGTTACACCAGAGACTCCAGTTCTCCCTTACAGACACATGCAGCGTATTTGACATGTGAAAAAGTAATGGGGATGTGTAAAATAAAACTTAGAAGTTATTATTAGCTTGTGGGGGGATTAGCCTATGTATTCTGCAGATAACCGAAAATGTCAGTTCTGAGGGGGTAAAGTATGTTTTTTTTCAGATGCACTCTGAAGAGATCTTGTGTTTTCCCAAGAATTGTAAGTTAATGCTATCTGGAAAAATCCTTGAGTGGTGTATGCATTAGACTAATTCCGGTTGCTCATATATTTACTTTGGACATCTAGATGTGGTATTAAAGGTCACTGGATTGGTGTTTCATCTAATTGTATTGTACTTTACAGTGGAATATCGTGTTCATACTTGTCTGAAAAGTCAATATTTAGTGTAGTTGTCTATCTATGTCACATGCCTAACTCTCCATGCAACTATAACACATGTTGATTAGTTGTCACCTATAGCATATATATTCCTGTATTAGATTTTTCACATAACAATTTGGTGTATACTTATTCCCTATAGATTGTGTTAACCGAAGCTATGTATCTCTTCCAATATGCTATGGTATCATACAAAAATTAAAGTCTCCGTGCCAACAATCAAAACTATGGGTTTGTCCATGGAATCCTTAATTGGATGTTATGGGTAAACAATATCTCTGGTTTACCTATATTGTACAATAAATGTACAAGACTAGTATTGCTTGTTCATATGTTCCTATTATATATATACACTGTACCGTGGGGCTATTTTGTTACATATAATAAATTCTATCTTCAGGTATCTATGCACATCTGTCTTCATTGGTGTTTCTGTCAATGTATTATTTTTCCAGGTCCTATATAGTTATATGTGAGACCATATGACATAGAACCATCTGGGGTATATATGCCTTGATTGTTACTTCACATTTGTTTCTAATACACCACACAAAAATACCCATGTTTCTTGTAAATTTACACCCAACCAAATCAACACATCATTTCATTCTCAAGACTCCACCCCCCCTTTAGGATCCCTAAATCTTTTCTACTAGGAATGTTACTCTCACTATATCAATTATATGTCCACAAGCTCCCGATTCACTCTTTATAATTTTCCATTTTGCCTCTTCACTCTGTCATCCCTCTTCGCACATTCCAATCTCGATACCTAAATCACCTCTTAAATTTATAAAAGACATCTTAATCTACAATACGGTTTATTACCAATCAAGTACAAACTAGAATGTACCATAACCATCACGTTTTATATTCAACTACAAAAAACACACACCCACAACCCAAATGGGGTACCCCCCCAACTACACCTCACCCATCCATCCCCCAACCCAACCCCAAAAAAAAAAACACACCCCAAAATTAACAGGTTCCCAGCCTTTACCTAAATCAAAAAAAAATTTGGGAATATGTTTTACCCTTGTCACAGGGCATAGGAGGCCCAAAATTCCCCCCCCAAATTTTTCCCCCCCCCCCCCCCCTCCCCTTTTTTTCCCCTCGCCCCCCCCCCCCCCCCCCAAAAAAATTTTTTAAAAAAAACCCCCCCCCACTTATAAAAAAAAAACCCCCAAAACCCCCAAAAAAACTTTAACAAAATAAAAAAACCCCCTTTTTTCCCCCCCTAAACAAACCACGGCCCCCTTTTTACCCCCCTTCCAAAAAAAAATGGGAAAAAAAAATTTTGACCCCCCCCCCCCCCCCCCCCCCCCCCCCCGGGCCTTTCTTTTTTTTCGCCCCCAAAAGGTTTTTTTCCCGCCAAAAAAAAAATTAAAAAAAAAAACCAAATTTTTCCCCCCCAAAATTCTCAAAAAAAACACCTCTGGTATTTTAAAAAAAAATGCAATTAAAAAACAGACTTCCTTTTGGGGGGGGCCCATTTTGAATATAACGACTTTTTCCCGGGCTTAAAGGGGTGCCCCATTTTTTCCAAAGGCCCCCCCCCCTTTTGGGGGGGGTTTGAAGGGGCCCCTTTTTTTCTTTTACCATTGCCAGGGGTTTAAAAAATTTTAAAAAATAAAAATTCCATGCAATGCCTTACATTCCCCTTTTAAAAACCCGGACTTTAAATTTTTTCAAAAAGGGGGTCTGGGGCCTTTCAAAAAAAGGATTATAGGTTTTCTAAAAGGCGAAGTTATTAGTTTTTTTTTTTAAAAAAGGGGGTTTATAATGTGGGGGAAAGAAACCCTTTCAAAAAATTTTTTTTTCCATTGGGGGGCAAATTTTTTTTTTTTAAAGTGGAAAAGTGCTTAAAATTTAAAAGAAGGGGCCCCCCATATGGCCCAAGGGGTGTTTTTTTTTTAAATTTTTTTTTTAAAAGGGAGGCCCTTCTTTTTACCCGGGGGGGTTTTGCTTAAAGGA